AAAAACACTAGCTCAAAAAAAGCTCAAAAAATTCTCAAACAGGACTACTACTAGCCCCAAATGGTGGAAAACGCATAGAATTATGTAAAGAAATGTTCGACCTGTTAGTTTAATGCCAATGAAACACACATGTTAGGCGCCCTAGCTCAATCATTGTTGAGCTTTATGAAGTTTAATTATACCTTTTATGATGGTCAAGTGTGCTTTTCATTATTGACCAACGAAAATGCTATCTTCCCTTACTTTTACCTAGCCATTTGCTCAATGAGGAGTAGATTTACTTCGTCTTTTTATAAAGGGCAAAAGAGGCTGCACTCGCCTTATTGTAGTTGTTGATTATTTCATAAAGTGGATAAAAGCTAAACCATTATCTACCACGACTAAAAAAAAGTAAAGGAATTTTTGTTCAACTCAGTCCTATGTAGGTACAATGGTACACTTTAGCCATATATATTCTTGTCCATAAAAGCGCTTAGCTCATCCTATCTTATATAGGTTTGGCATTTCATGGGACATCATAGTAGACAATTGCCTTCAATTTTGAGCTGTAGCCTTCAAAGCCTTTTGTGAAAACTATAGAATTCAGCTCGTCTTCACTTTAATTTACACTACTGGCCAGGCAAAGTCTGCTAATAAGATTGCCTTGCGCGATTTCAAAACATGCATTATGCTTGCTCAAACAAACTGGGTTAATGAGCTGAATAATGATTTATAATCTTGTAGAACTACACCCAGCTTGGTCATTGGTGAAACATCATTTTCCTTAGCCTATGGGACAAAAGTAGTTATTCCTATCGAGATAGGCTTGTCAAGCTTGGGACCAGCTCATTTTGATGAAATAGCTAATGAGCAAGCACTTCATGAAAATTTAGATCTTATTGAATAGGTCAGGGAGGTTACTCGTTTACGATCTTTATCTTATCAAGGTCGTGTTGCCAATCTTTATAATAAATGGGTTCACAATCACTAGTTTCAAGTTAATGACCTAGTTTACAAAAAGTTAGACTCACAAATGCATATTCTTCCTTGGGCAAACTCGCCTCTAATTAGAAGGGCCCCTATAAAGTGATTATTATTAAACGACCTGGGTCATACATCTTAGAAGACACTGAAGGTCGTCAACTACCATTTACATGGAATGTTAGTAATTTATGAAAATTTTACAGTTAATTGATGTAATTCATATTATTGTAAATTGTTACAACGTTATAAGTATTGCATTTCAAGGATAAAAATTACCTTTGTTTTCATTTCATATAGTAATGTGCATAATTGGGTTACATTTGCCACAATAGGCTAACACATAATCAAAAACAAAAAAAAACTATTCAAAAATACAAAACAAAGACAAAACCTTGCCCACTCATTTCACTAATCTATTAGATCAATAGTAGGCATGGAGGCAACAGGGGTCTCTGTCTGAGTTGAAGTTGGTGGATGAAAGGAAGAAGAGTAGGAGGTACTAGTTTCCAAGATGGGCATCCCAGTAATCTAATCAGCATAACATTGAGATGGGTCGTATTCTTCACCCGCATGATCAAAAGGAAGAAAGGCACCTTCTCAACATCCAAACTCCATCACAAATTCACAGTAGTTTCATACAGTGGACGTAGACTCTTCCCTTGCTCATCAATCTCCTTGTCCTCAACAAACATGAGCTCGCCAATAAGGAAGTCTGGCCGATGCTACAACACCTTACCATGAATCTCATTGTCTATCTCAATTGTACTATTCACTATGCCAGTGGCAATAACATCTTAGAAAGCCTCTAACTTCAGGAACCATTCTACTCTTTAAGGTCAGGCCATGCTGATTGAATTTTGAAACGAGCCTTCTAACTTGCTTAGTTTATCTTAGACGACATCTACTATTTATCTAGCTTTATCAACATTCACCTTTAGGTTGTGTACCTCACCCAAAGCTTGCTCCCTCTCCTCTTTTACTTTGTTGGCCTTTTCCATAACTATAGTGACCTGAAGCTTGGCTTTCTTTTTAGCTGACAAAATGCTACTTTCCTTTTCAACTTGTACTTTATCCAACTCTTCTTTCAACTCGTTTATTTGGTTAGCAAGCTCATCCACTTGGCTTTTAGTAGTAGCAGCTCAGTTAGCCATTTCTAAGCTTTGGAGATAGCTCATTTCCTCTTACAACTTCATTTTCTCCAAAACAGCATGTTTACAGATGTTGCCACTTTACTTGCTTGCACCTTAATGGTCGTCTTGTTCTCAAATGAAGCTCTCATGTAGCAAAAAGCCTATCATTCAACTCACTATATTACCACAATTCACAAAAATGAAAATAAGAAAACACACATGGTTCTAATTCTAAGTTGGATAATTCATATACGAGCTTGGAGAACACTACTTAAAAATGCAAGCAACGGGCTCGTTATTCACCCTCTCTATTCTCATATCTTGGACAAAAATGAATTGTCTCTTCCAGCTCGCCACTTTATTCTTCACATTATGAAAAATAATCATTTTATCCCACTCTAAAATGTAATACCATTTGATCATTTTCTTGACTTGTTTGCAATGGAATAAGGATCGAAACATTGTCGATCTTGTGGGCACCTGCAAGTTCGCACATAGCAACATGAACCCTATTTTGAATTTTATTGAATATAGAGTTAATTATGTTAGGGCGAGGTTATAATCTACCAACATGTCAAATATCATCTTTAGTAGAAGAAACCTTAACCTAGCTTTTAAAGCTTCCAGGTTTAGAAGAATCCAACTGTTCATTGCCATTAAGTATGCCCTTTTATTGCCAAACACTGCTTGAACCATTATGGTGCTTGCACTTTCACCACAGTGTCCAATTTCTTCAACCCATTGATGGTAGCACTCCCATCTACTACCTCGTGGTGGAAGGTAGCCTTAATCTTGAATCTTGCTGCCAAACTTATTAGTATTTGCCAGATATTGTTAACTAAATTGGTGTAAGCAAGAACCTTTTCCTAATCTGCTACTATAGGGTCGGCCCTTTTTTCCCCTTTTATGCCATCTTTAGCAGTTTCAGAGTCCCTTTTCTTCTCTTCATCTTTACCAGTAGTTTTTTACCTCGTTGACGAAGAACTTGGGGTGTTCTCTGGCGTCAAAGGTGTGTCCATGTTTGGCCTACCCTATAGAGTTAACAACACCACCATGACAAGAGGCATAGTTGAGACTATCCCCTCTTTTGGTTCCCCTTGGTTACCCTACATTTCTCACAATTCTCTAAAGAAATCCATAATTATCTAGATAATTGTAGCAAAAAAAGTTCAAAATGCTCTTTTAACTATTTGCTATCTTGGAACACCTACACACTCATGAAAATGGCAAAAGAAAATAGCAAAAGCACAAAGGAGGAGCCAAAATGGTTGAAATGCCTAAACAAAACTTTTTATTCACCAGATTACATCGATTTCGGAGCCTGCACCCATGCCTCCTCAATAACCAACTGAAATGATACACATGGAACTTTTTATGGTAGCATGTGAGATATGAAACAACCCTAGTTGTCATGTCCTTTAAAATGCTGAACCCGCATTTAATGTGGGGGTACGTAGTGGAAGGATATAGAAGGACCTAACATAATAGTTATGTTTTAAATTTTAAACCTTGTCAGTAGTTGCATTTAAAATTTTAAATCTTCAAGTCTTCAAACTTTATTGGATGAGCTCATAGTTTAAACAATCTGTTCTATATTTTAAAATTGTCTTCAAATGAGCTCGTAAAAGCAAGACATTGAACTGAGTAGAGATGAGCTCATTCAACAAAGGCACATCCTATGAGCTCGCCAAAGGAAAAGTATCAAGCTCATTCAGAAAGGGTACATTTAATGAGCTCACAAAAGGTGAATCCTGACTCAAGTAATTATGTAGCCACCACATGTTAACTCGGCAAGGCCAATCTTAGGCTATGTTACTAATTATAATGTTTTGAAAATCAAACACTAAGGAGGGAGTAATGTTGGGGAGTACTCCCAACATTGGCTTTAGGCCCAAAAAACCTATGTGAAGCCCAAAGATGCAAACAAAGTAATAATAATACACCCACATAACTTGGGACAAATGAACTGGCAGGGAAATGGCATGTGGCATTAATGTCATAAATGAGGATTATAAATACCCTTATCTACCTCCATGTAAGGTAATAACTCTACTACGCTTCTCTTTCTACAATATTTCAATCTTGAGTCTCTCTTTAAGATATTGAATATTGCTAACTTAAGTGTCAAAGTGTCTTCCCTGGGGATATTTCCTTGGGATTTTCAAGTACATGACCTCAACAATATGTGAGCTCATGAAATTGCCCAAATAGCTTGGTTGTGGAAGTAAACTCTTATATTGCTTTCCATGTCCCCATTATTAATGTTCCTTCAGATTATCCACTTAATCCCCCTTGGTTTTGGATTGCAAGGCTATCCTAGCCACTATTCCTTAGGTGGAACTCTTGTATATGTACAAGGAAGCCCATATTTCCACTAATTGTATTGCCACTATGAGTCACCCTTTGACCACTTTAATATTCATGTATTTAACGTTTGCCTCAATGTTTTGGCTATGCATTATTATGTTGAATATCATTCTCCTATTCACTGAAAAACATGTTAAAACTTTCAAATGATACATGTAACTACTTAACCCTACCTAGCACAAACAAGAAACTTTCCAAAGAAAAAGGTTAAATATATTTGTATCCTTAAACTTTTAATTTTAAACATTTTTAGTCCTTTAGTTATTTTTACACCTTTTTGTTTTTGAACCATGAAAAGTGCACTTATGTGTATATATTATAAGTTTAAGGATTAAAAATATGCATATATGAGTAAACTTAATGAACTAACTGATGAAATAATAAAAAAAGTGCATTTTTCATAATTTGGGGACCAAAAATGTAAAAAAAAAAAATTTAAATAAAAGTATTCAAAATTAAAAGTTTAATGACTAAAATTAACATTAAACCCAAAAAATAAAAATAAAAATAAAAAATAAAGAAAGAAAGAAGGCCGCGTCAACTGTCTGAAAAATGTGTTTTTCTTTCATAGAGACCAAAATGCTTTGAATCTTCATTTTGCCATCTTCTTCTTTTTCTTCATCTCAATTATAGGTAACTGGCATGTATTTGATTTCGTTTCCTTTTACGCAATTGCATTGATTCGTGTTTGCTAGTCTGCTCTATGTATCGACTTTTCTATATGCTCGAATTATTTTTTTCTCTATTTTTCTGCTTGCTTGCTTAGAAATTGAAGAGGTGTTTAGGAAATTTTCAGTTCAACTTGAAACCTTTGCTTTTATTGTATTCAATTTTTTTCTTTTTCAAGTTTCTGTGATTTCTTAATTTCCACTAGTCCTATATTGTAGATTATTGATCTGATTTATATAATTGAAGAGTTCTTCGGACTTTTTTATTTTATAAAGATTGTTCTCTGAGTTCAAATTTTTAGATATCATCTTGTGTTTGATTGAAGGGTAAACAGGAATTTTTCGCACAAGAAACTGCATCAGATTTTATTTTATTTTATTTTATTTTATTTTTATTTTTCTGTGGAAGCTGATTTTAATTTGATTTTCCATTTGAAATGAAAAATGTTAATCCATTGGAAACTATTGCGTATCTTTTTAATGTAGGTGCAAATTTATAATTTATGGGAAATACTGAATCAACATACAATGATGACTATTGGCATCAACACCCTTCCTTCGCAGGAAGTCAACCTGCATCCTACTCTGGGAGTGGGAGTTCAATGGATCAGAATTACGGACCTAGGCAGCAATCAACAACTATAGCTGACAATTTCAACTCTTTGGCAGAGGTTTTCTTTTTACTTAAACTTTAAATTGTTGTCGATTGGGATTATAGAAAATATTGTGTTTTAATTTTTTGATACAATTCTTTGAAGAATTCTGGAGAGACAAGGGGGAATAGGCAGAGAGATGAAGTATGTTTTAACAAGTTTTTTCATGACATGCTCCTAGTATGTTGAGGCACATTCAGGAATATAACTGTTTAGGTGGACCAATATATTTTGAGTTGAAAAGGGAAAATGGAAAATACAATTATACAAACATTTATTTTTTACATAAAAGATGTTATTGTAATTGGTCTTGGCCTCATTCTACTACACCTATCTTCACATGCATAACAAATATGAGACATCTGATAAACCTCAGGCTCCACAAAACTGTAAATTGATAGTTGTAGGTCATCATATGGTCATTAGAAACATCAAAGAAAGATGGACTTTTGGAGAATTCTCTAGAAATTTCAAAATGGATCAACCATTGAAATAAATATCAGTCCATGGATGGAAAATATTTTATCCAATATATTTCAGCGAATGGCATTTCAATGCAACTTTTAGTAGTTTTCATCCTTTAAAGTGAGTTGTGATAGGTAGAGTAAGATAAATATGGTCTTTAGCTACTTATGTTGTATCTCTCCTAAATGGAATGACAAAGCTAGCAAGTATCGACCAACATATTTTTAATTTTAGGTTATATCAGCTTTGAGAGAGGCAGGACTTGAATCATCGAACCTAATACTTGGTGTTGACTTCACAAAGAGCAATGAGTGGACAGGTACCTCCTTCTCTCTCTTTTTCTCATATTATATGACTACTTTAGAAATTCTTATGTGTGAAAAAGAAAAATCTCTTATTTTTTAGGAAGGTATTCATTCAATAGGAGAAGCCTTCATGCAATTGGCAGCACACCCAATCCTTATGAGCAAGCAATATCTATCATTGGCCAGACTTTGTCACCTTTTGACGAAGATAATTTGATACCTTGTTTTGGATTTGGTGATGGTTAGTAGTGGCTTATAACAGTGTTTTCCTTTTGAATTATTTCCAGTTTCACTTTTGGGATGTTTATTTGATTATGTCCTCATTTGTTTTTTTTTGGTGCAGCATCAACACATGATCAATATGTATTCAGTTTTTATCCTGATCATCGATATTGTCATGGTTTTGAGGAAGCTCTTGCACGGTACAGAGAGATTGTTCCATTCTTAAAATTGTCAGGTTGTTAAAATCCTACCTTACATACTCTACTTTAGCTTCCTACCCTACAAGCTCTTGGCTAGAAAGGCTGTTGTGATCTGTTCTAGTGTTATCATAAGCCTTCATATATCTGTTATAAATAAATTAATATCAAATAAGACAAAGCAGATCATTTCTAAGAGTGCTTTACAAAACAAAAGAAAAATGGAAAGAAAAAAAATTTGAAGGTTGTAAAAGAGAGATGCAAATAAAAAGTAATAAAAGGAGGCAAAAGTACATCTATATTCTCCTTTGCTTGATAGGTCTTGGTGACTTTGTCTGGGTTCCTTTGTAGATGGTTGATTTTTCTTGTACACTGTTATGATATCTTAGTTATCAACTGTACCTTAAATTTTTCCATAGGAACTGACTGGTATCAACTATCACTGATATAAAGTGAGATTTTCCAGATATCTCCTTTTTTAGACCAGATGCATATTGATCTTTATCATTTCAGTTTGTTTTTCCCCTGAAGAAGCATAAATATTCAAAATTAGGAGGTTAACACTGTTCTGTACTCTATCAAAAATCATCTATTTGTTTGAAATGTAAATAGCCCTGCCCAAAGTATCCCTGATTTCTATCAGTGTCTCATATTGATGGGAGAGTTGCATTTTGAACAGTTGGCAGAGAAACAATTTAGTCTATAGAAATAACAGATTTGCATTAATTTTTATTAAATTTAACACTTAAATTACACTCAAAAGTTAAAACTGATAGCTTAGAACAATTTTCCTTTTCTATTTTTTATTGCATAAACATGTATTTGTCATGTCATGTTTTCCTGCCAAGGCTTTGTGCTGTTCAAGTATTTAGTCTGTCTGATTTAGTTGTTATTTTTGTCTTCAATGTTTTCATGCAACTTTAACATGCCTACCACATACTTCAATTCCATCTCCCCTTTCTTGAGCTTTCTCAACAAATCATTACTTTGTCAAAGAACAAAAGCAGAAAAAAGGATGGCCATTAATACATTTGGAATCATAGAAGCTTTTGATGACTATTCGTGCAATTCGTTAATGATAAAAGAAAACCAATAAATTTTTGTTATTGGTAGATCTTTGAATCACATTTGAGAATATTGTGTGGAACCAAAGTGATAGAATACTTGATAAAAGAAACAGATTAAATAAATAGCTTTACTAGAATAATAATATGCTGAGAATCTTTTTAAATTACTTCAGTAAACGTTGGTGCTTCAATCCTAGAGATTAATGTTGAGATGGATCCAAAGTTTGCTAATGTAGGCTGGTATCTGCATAATGCATATGCAACTAGGCAAATACTTGAAAATGCATTAGATAAAATCCTAGAGAAAAGAGTTTTTCAATTATAATATGAAGTGATATGTATGTAATTTTTATTGATAATTTTAGTAGGATAATATCATGTTTGATTGGTCTAGAGTTTAGAAAAACTGGCAGTGGCTTGAACATAGATGCTAGACAGAATAAAGTGTCCCTCCCTGTTTTAAAGAATTTGATTTGAAAGGGATAAAAAATTTGTAAAGTCAGGCTAGAGGACTAATAAAAATGGTATTCCAAGAGATATGTCAGCTTTTATTGGCAACTAACAAGTGTTGTTCCCCTTTTTTTAGCATTTTGCAATTAGCATAACATTTACAAGCTTTCTGATGGTGCCTTTTGTTTCAGGCATTCAGCTAATTTATTTTTTTGGTGGTCATATTTGCCTTTAAGCATGGCTGCAAATTCTAAGTATGATCATATCTTATCACTTATTTGCAGGTCCAACTTCATTTGCACCAATTATTAAGGCGGCAATTGACATTGTAGAGCGAAGCAATGGGCAATATCATGTGCTTGTCATTGTTGCTGATGGCCAGGTTAACTGAACATGTTTAATGTGATATCTCATATCTTCAAATACTTTATCATAGATTCCTAATCTTATTTGTCTCTTTTTCTGAACTTATGGTTATGTGATGCTTCAATGATTACATAGGTTACTAGGGATCCTGATACACCTCCTGGAAGATTTAGCCCACAAGAAGAAGCTACCATAAATTCTATTGCTTCTGCTAGGTAAAGCATTGCTACGTTGTAAACATTGGGTTAAGATAGTGCTCTGTTGTCATTGACTTTGATTGTTGTGGAAAATGGAGAGCAGCCATTACCCCCTCTCAATTATTTTTGTTGGTGTGGGGGATGGACCATGGGATGCAATGCAACAATTTGACGATAACATTCCCCAACGTGCTTTTGACAACTTCCAGGTACATGATTAGTATTTTTGAATCAATGTGCTGTATGCATGCCATAACATTACTGGTCTTTTAGGTTCACTACACATTCTGTTACACTTTAAACAAAGAATTATGACTGAGGTGCTTGTCTCAAAAGACGATTTTTACTCCTTAGCATATGACTTTTTGGGATCAAGCACACTCTAGTGAATGTTGGGGACATTATGATTTCATGGGCATGCTTGGTTATTTTCACTGGTTTGAGTTTATCATTATAATGATTTGGCTTTTAGTAAGAAACTAATCCAACTTGCAGATATCTTATTATTTTTGTAAGTAATATGTATTTCCCCTTCCACAGTTCGTCAACTTTACAAAGATTATGTCTGAGAACAAAGAATCATCAAAAAAGGAAGCAGCATTTGCGCTTGCTGCCCTCATGGAAATTCCACATCAATACAGGGCCACTATAAATCTTCGTCCTGTCAAGTAAGGCAACAAGGCAACTTCTAATTAACATCTAATTCCAGTCTAGAATGATTATGCATTAAACATTTAAACTGATGCAGTAGAGAACTAGATAATGGTTCGCATATAAGGCCACTTCCACCTCCACGTGAAGTGATTGATCATGACAATGCAGTTAAATCAATCCCACTCAGGATAATTTTTGAAAAAGTTGAACCTGCAGTCCCAGTGGCAGAACCAGTAATTTTCTCTTTTTTTCTTTTCTTTTCCTTTCTTAATTTACATATCTATTCAAATCAGCACATGGTCTTAACATACAACTTATGTTGTTTCAAGGTCTGCCCTATCTGCTCAACAAAACCAAAGGACCTGGCTTTCGACTGTGGTCATACGGTAAGTGCCTCTTGATTGAGTTATATATGTACGTTAGCACCAAAATAAAATCCAAAATTTATGGTCGTATGTATCTTTGAAGCTGCTTAAAAACTGCCGCTACCAATGACTCTAATGAATATATTGCACCTTCAACTTCTTTTGAGAAGTAAAGAATATTTAGGAGAAAAGCTGGTAAATTTTCTCTTATGGAGAGAAAAGTGCTTATCTGAGTTTAGGACCATTTAACAGAATCTATATGGCGAAAGGGAAACCTGAAAATAAATTTGAAGTGAAAGTGAAAAATGATATGGTATAGAGTGTAATTTCCAGTTTTGGTGGATATTTTATGCAGAGCAACTATGTTCTAATCATTTTCATTGCTTTGTTTTCTTGCTTAAGACTTGCAAGGATTGTGGTTCAACCATTTCATCATGCCCCGTGTGTCAGCAGCCAATAACAACACGCTTGAGACTGTTTACATGATTGAGAGATTGCTTTCTATGATGTTGAATGTCTTGTACGTATGTCAAAGACGTACAACGAAAAACGAAATTCCCATAGAACAAAGCAGTGTGTACAATATAGTATGTGCTCAGGCAGTCTTTTACTAGATAAATTTGATAAATTTGGTGAAGTGAGTAATGTTTTAAATAATTATACTGTGTTGATCTAACACGTGGTGGCTTACTGACCACCCCAATGAAGAAGTGTTCGGACACTTAAAACCTAGTTCTATACTCAGGTTTCCCTTATTCGAAATTCCCTACTATCAAATAATAACAATAATAATAATAATAATTATACTATTTTTTTTGTGTTAACCTTTCGATATCTGGTAATTATGTTGAATCTTGATTAATTCAGAATCAAGATGCGTCGTATCCCATTAGGAGGGAAGTTTTTCCAACACATGTTTCTTTATTCATAAGACTCGAATTTGAAATCTTAAATAAGGAGAGTCGAACTCCTTCCACTTGAATCAACAGGTTGTTGGTATAATTATATCATGTTACTAGACTTCAATTTTCGTTTTAGATGTTTCATCTGTATTTTTCAAAAAAAATTTATTAATTATAAATTTTTATAATAATAATTAACGATAAATATATTCCTTTAAATATTCTTTTGATAATTAGTCATTTTAAATGTATTAATTCATAAAAAAAAGAGTATGAATGATAGACATAGAAGAAGATTTAAATATGCAAATTTAATCAAGTTTTATTTTAAAAAATAGAGACAAGTTTTCATAATTTGTTATTATATTAATAAATTATGAAAAATTTTCAATCATCTCTCTTTATTCTCTCTTTATGGTAATAAATTGTTTAATGTTATTCGTTCTCTCCCTTATTATCTCCTTAATAGTCTCTTATCTCTATCTATTCACATGTTATATTTTTTTCTATTATTTATATAAAGATCGTCTCTCTTTCCATATTTTTCTATCATTTTCAATTCTGTAGTTAGCTTTATCATCATACATTTATGTCATTATTATGTTAATTCTAGCTTAACTTAGTGCATTTATCGCTTCTTGTTTTTCTTTTTTAAACTCATATTTTTCCACATTATTTTACGCTTTAATCACTTTTTTGTCTTTTTATACATATTTCTTTGTAAATTCCTCTCTATATGAGTAATTTATTTATTTTTACTATTTTTTATCCTTTATCTTGTATTCTTTATTATTCTTTCTTAATTTTTTGTTTCATATATATCTTACTATCATTTTATATCTTTCTTAAACCAATTTTTCTTTATGTTAGAAATGTTTTGAAGTTACAACAGAAAATACCCAACTTATTTGTATTATTTTCTTTGTACTTAATTTTTCAATTGCCTATAATCGTTATTAATTTTTGTTGAGACTCTCCATCTCTTAGCTTCCCCCTCAAATTTTATATCATTAGATTTAATTTTCTATCTTACATATTATTCTTTCTTTTATTATATTCCCATTTCTATCATTCTTTATTAGACATTCCATATACCTCAACTATAATTAAATATCTTATTTTTTATCCATTTTTCTATTTTAATATGTTTTTGTTAAAAAAATTTTATATTAAAATATAAAAAACACAATTTCTTAGTATTATTCTCCTGTTACTTTTTCACTTACCTTAACTTCTATCATTACTTTTCTTGAAACTTTCTCTCTTAACTTTTCCTTTTACATTCTATCATTACATTTCTCCCTACAATACATTCCCCTGTTTTTCCCTCTCTATATTAATAATTTGTTTGCTATTAATTTTTCACCTTTTTAATCTTCTTTTTATAATATTCTTTCTTAGTCACTTCTTGCATTTTCACCAATCATTATATATATCTTTTTTACATTACTTCATTTATCACTATTAATTTATCATCAAAAACTAATAAATATTGTTTATTTTCATCATTAAACACTTATATTATTATTTATTTGACCAATGCGCCTTAAGGGCTTCTTCCTCTGTCCCTTCAAAAAAAATAATTCTAATCAATTGGCCCCCAAAAGTTTTTGACACCTCCTAGGATTTTGATCAAGTTCCATCTCTATGGAAGAGTACCTATTGCCTGTATGCAAGGAAAAGAAGGTTAGTTTATTGTTGCTAATGGATCCTAGATCTATGTATTATAGTTTGGATCGTATATTAAAAATATAGTTTGTTATATAAGTTTACTAAAACATCTTTAATAAAATAATAAAAGAAATAGTTTTATTAAAAATATTTAATAAATTCATAAAACATACCATACTTTTAATATACAGTTCATCTTATAAAATATATATATATATTTTTATAGATCCTATAGCAGTAATCTGTTGAAGTGTTTAATTACAGGGACTCTTTTGATGGGATTTATATACTTGAGTAGAAGTGGTGCCTCTACTTCTAAGAGTTGAAGACTTGACTTTTAATTAGCAATGTTGTATTGACAAAAAAGGACAAATTGTCTGAAGCGTTGGTAGAAGATGAATTCTTATAAGTTCGGTACAAAACAAGGACATCCTTTTCATAATTTTCTTATTATACATATGAATTTTTTTTAACTAATTAAGGTAATCATCTTTTTAAAATTACTAATTAAAAGTTAAAGAGGGATTGAGTGGATCTACACATTGACATGGTAACAAGTTCCGCCTGAAAGCACCATTTTTCTCGCTAACGTGGCTACAAATGACAGCATGAACAAGGATGTACAGTAAATATAATGGATAACGATACGAGGTTAATTTTTTTATAATTGTCTTATATAATATTAAATAAATATATATTATATTATAAATAAATTTTTAAGTAAAAAATAAATTATTAAACAAGTAAAATTATAAAAAAATTATTTTTTAATTATTTTTTAATTATTTTCCAGAGATGAGATGTGATAAAAAGAGAAAAATATTACGTGTAGGATGGCCAGCTGATCCATCCCATTCGAAAACAAACTTTAAACATCTTTTTTTTATCTTCCTCTTCTCGGGTTTCCCCAAATTCAAGTCAACGTTTCCTTTTGCGTTTTTCCCAAATTTAAAGCTCAGACTCTTGTATATATATTAGAAAGATAATTACACGCTAATCAACGTTCACCAGCATACGGATACCTAGAACACTTGACACGGATGTCATCTTCAGGACGCCATCTGTTAGGCTATAAACAAATAGAGGAGTAACACAAATATCATAATCAAATCGCAAAAACAATCAGTGTTCTAACCCTTTAGCACATAAAACTTGTCACAACTTTTCCATTATCCAGCTACCTGCTAAATCAGTACCTTCACCAAAAATTGCAGTCAAAACTGGAAATTCTAAGGGCTGTCCTGCATCTCTCCAGGGTCTGAGTACAAGTTAAAAAGAACAGATTGAGATTTCCACCAAGAATCTCCATAAATATTGGTTTCAAGGCTTTGTATAAATCCAACTCGCATCAAATTTTTGTTATACTTTATTAGAGATATTCTTCCTATCCATGTAATAATAATGGGAAGATCAACATGTGTTCCTCAGAGGCAACGAAAAAAACCTTGGACTGCACTTAGAAGTTCCACCTGCCTAATTGTCTCTTGGCTTCGGCCATGTCTTTCTGTGCTTTTTTCCTTCGATAAAATATTGGACAATCCCGACTGTAACATGATAAAGCAACCATTCAGAAGTAAAAAAAAATTGAGAATTAAGCAATCAAACAGCTACTATAAGGGAAGGAAATAGTATAACCTAGTACAGAGCACATCCTGGTGAAGAGAACCTTGGCACTCTTGGCATTGCGTCCACAGCCTCCCAAAGAGCTCCTCAAGATCTGAAACTGCAGCCATTCCATATTTTAGCTATGTTGATCCAACTTTAGTATATTAAAGTTATTTTGCATGAGAACAACACAAAAATACGTCTACCTTGAGAAACTGTTTTGCAGTACAGTTCTGCTTCTCTTCCCTTGCAGTGAGAACAGAGAGTTTTATCTGCATCGCTGAGTGAAGTCCAACATATGTTGTTAGAATCCTTGTACAAGGGAAAACAACATTGGTATTTATGCATGTAACAAGTGCATGAGACTGCCCAACATTTGCAAGAATTCGGATTCAGATTAACCACAAAACAAAAACTAAAATTAGCTATTGTTGCAACATAAGTTACAACCAAATGTCCTGGAATATAATGACATTTCAATGACTTTAGGAATAAGCAGTGTTACTATCACAGTGGCAAAGCAATTCTTACTGTTTGAGCTGGTTCAAACAGTTTGTGTCAGATGGTTCTTCTACAATATCATGAATATATTTAATGATGCAGATATGAATAGTTTGAATGAATGAAGCTAAGCCACAAAAATTTTTAAGAACTTTTCCTTTCTTTAAAACACAACCATCACACACACACACACACACACAGAGACACACAGAGGGGCCACAGTAAGGATGCTTAAAATTTAAGGAACTCATTCAGTTAACCTTGTTGATCATTTCAAATAGCATCCCATATTCTTCAGCAAATAATACTAATAATACAAAAGGTTTTTCTAGTAATAAAAAGTGTAATTATTGCACTTTTTTACATTAATTGGGATTGAACAATACAAAAGTTGACATTAATTTCACCATCAATGCCATGTGAAACATTATAATTGGACAATTGATTAAACAAATGTTAACTTTTATTTTTTTAAATACCAATTATTGTCGAAAAGTGCAATAATTGCATCACACTCCTTCAGAATCAATATCAACATCATGATAGATCAGCCCTCTTTCTCAAATAACATAACATATTCTTCAGAAATTTTAAAAAAGATGAAAAGGTTCGACCCTCCTTCAGAATCAACATTAAAAGCAAAGATGAAAAACCTCAAACCTCCTACAGGATCAGCGTTACCATAGATCAACTCTCTTCTCCCTCTCTATTATAAATCATGCAATTTTAGACATCTCCTTTTTCACAAGAGCTACCATCAAAGAATACTCATGCTTAAGATAAAACAAAATAATAATAACACAGTAACACAGACTAACAGGCACAGTAATTATAGGAGTTGAGACCAAAGGCTGGAACTAAGAGGGATCAATCAATGACTGAACATCAAATAAAATGAATAATCACTGAATTGTTTGGCATAAAACTTAAATATAAAGCAATACAATAAAACTAACAACACAGGTCTACCAGCACAATGACTAAAAATGACAATACCTAAGTAGTGCTTTGCAACCAATACAACTAAGCTGTTTCTTTGCAAATTTCATAATGCCACTGTTTGAAGGTGTTGAGATGGAAATAGATCTTGTGTGACTTCCTTTAAGAAGTTCCTTTTCGGCATTCTTCAAAATCGGCTCAAAAATTCTTAACAGTGGCTGTTACATTAATGAAATTGTTCACAGATAAGTAAAGCCAGGGAGATAAAGATTGTAGTTAAAAAAAAAAAAGAAAGGCAGAACGTTAAGCACTAAACTAACCTTGCTAATTTGATTTTCAAGATAATAGTTTGGGTCTATTGGTATGTTATTTTCTAGCACATAGATGGGATCCTCAGACTTCTCATAAGCCTGTATATCACGGAGAATCATTCTAGGACCAATTTATAAGATATTAACATTTTTATTAGAGAAAAAACAAAAAAAAGAAATCAGCAAGATCACCTTAGCACCTTTTGCAGCTTTTACAATAACATAAGGCACCCGATCCCCAACATTTGGAGCAGTGGCAGCATCCCGCTGTCAAAAACAAATTGAAAAGTATTACTATAATGCTCTAAAAGCACCAATTGCAGTTAACAAACAGAAGGTATCATGTTAATACTGCCACTGTAAGTATCCACTAAAGCATAATAAAAAGCATGCACTACACATACAATCCATAGGATATGACCTGGCAGAACAATATTTACCATTTTTTATACCAGTAAAATGAAAAGTTTATTGGAAACAAAATGGATTACAACATGGGAAAAGCCTCAAAATGACCATAATCCTAGAAAAGAACCAAAAAATTTGCGAGTTCATAACAACTCCATTACAAAGAAGGATAACCTAAAATCATCATAATACCATGCTTAGAAATCCAATGTTGAACGAAAACTGGACTCAATTCTCATTGGTTTCCCCAGCATTTCTGTAAAGTGAGTTGCAATTTTTCCTTTTATATAGAAATGACAAATGTCGTAAAAGTGGGCATTAAAAGGCTCCTTTCACCTTTCTTTCTCTATCAAAAATAATTTAAAATAAAAAGATAATGAGACCATGCTCTTTAAGGAACTACAAGCATAAATCTACTCCTAGATGCTGCACCTTAACAGTTCAAATTTACCCACATTACTATCATTTCATTAACCTAAAAGATGCAGTAGCTTGAGAGAAACATGTTTCTTATTAAATTAAGGACCAAACCTATTAACTTCATGTTCATTAGAATTCAGGGAAATAATTAATTTTTAGGCATATAAAATTACATGACAAAATAATGGAGTGATAGCTTTGTTATTTTTATGTTGAAGTGCAACATGCTTGATACAAATTTGTGGTTGAAGCTTCCAAATCATAGCAATTATCCTAAATTTTAACAGGAAAACAAGATCTAAAGAGCAATAATGCAGCAAATTCAACCTTGCGCATGCGTTCAGCAAGTTCGACGTGAGCTGCTTTGACTTCATAATCATCCCCAGTTTTGGTCAGTCCCTGTCACATGGGAGCCAGTAGAAAGTTATGATGTGAAAAGCAGGAATTACTTATGTCCAGGACCATGAATACTTCTAGAAATAGCCAAGGACAATGAAGAAAAGCATATATATGTAGTCATTTTTAACAAAGCACTTTCTCTGACCTTTGTAATAACCAAAAGTGACAAATCCATTCGATTCATGAGAAGATCTGAAATTGTATTTTTGACATATTGAACTGCACCAGGTATGTCTCTGTTGATCAATATCTTATGAAGACAATCATTTACAAGGTTTTTGACCAATAAACAATTGTCTCTTCGAACTGTTTCAATTCCTATCAATAATAAACAGGAGTTACAAGTAAAGTTTAAAAAAACATTTGGAAGCTGTAATGGTCGTGAAATTCCAAATTACCTTTAGTATCCATTTTGTCAAACTTCTGGGAATTTGTCCACAGTAAACCAGCATATCTTTTCTTGCTAATAAGCAGATATGGATAATAGACCTTCTCAAACTCCAGCTTGATGGGCTAAGAGATGCAAAAGAAATAGAAACTACATCAATGAAAAAGATAACGAAGGGGAAAAGAGCCCTTGCTGACTTTGGTTACAAAACAATAAGATGCATATAACCTAAATAGCAATCTCCATATCAGATACATATTATATTCAAACAAACATAGAGCTTATCCAGGTCTAAGAAAAATGCTCCAAGCTTTCTGAACTGCTGCAATCTGGGCCCTTAAGGTTCATTTGGTTGGAGTAATGACTATTCCTTAGTCAAATTATAAATATCAAGGTTTTTAAAACCGAACCGGTTATTGAACCATTTTCAGGTCCGGTTTCTGGTTTGACCGGTTCAACCGGTTGAACCAGTGAACCGGCCAGTCCAAACAACAAGGGAGAATCTGATGAGGGGGCAGGCAATTTTGTAATTTTATTAAAATTAAGGGTTAAAATCGGTATAAGAAAGGAATGGTGAGGGTGAAATTGGAAAAAATAGAAAGAAGATTGCATAAGAAATTGAACCGGTGGTTTTTCCGGTTCTACTGGTTCCACCGGTTTTTCCGGTTTTGACTGGTTTTAACCTCAAATGGTTTTTTATATAAACTGAACCATTTTTATTACCAGATACCGGTCCAACCGGTTCAACCAGCCGGTCCGGTCCAGTTTTAAAAACCTTGATAAATATAAAGAAAAATTGTGAAACTCTTTTGAGAAGTTAGGAATGTGTACTCAATAGTTGTAATTTCTACTAAATTAACATATGATTAAGGAATATGTATTCCCCACCTCCCCCTGGGAATTGTTAGTCCTTAATATAACTCTTAATTTAGTAGAAATTACAACTATTAAGGAACACCTATTCCTAACTTCTCAAAGAAGTTTCAGAATTTTGTTTATATTTATAGTTTGATCAAGGAAACCAAAAATAGCCTTAGGTATTGTTTGGATTGGAGGTGTCGGACAGAGAAGGAGGGGAAGGGATGAGGACGGATGGCAAGGGAGGGAGAGCGAAGGGACTGTCTCTTTCTTTCTGTTTGGGTTTCCAAAGAGGCAGAGGAGGAGGGAGATGGATTGATTCGGACTCCCTCCAATCACCCTCAAATTTGTAGATTTGCAATCCGCCCGATTTGGAGGGTTTGGGAGGAATTTGAGTGACTATTTAGATTAAATAAAATGTAATTATAAAATTAACTTTAATTTTTTTATTATATCCTTCTCCATTACAAGTTTAAAGGATAAATTTGTAAATTTAAAATTAATTTAAATATTTTCCTTTCTTCCCTTCCTTTTACCTTAATTATCCAAACATAAAATAATATAATCTTTCCCTTCCCTTCCCCTTCCTCATTTTTATTTATCCAAACAAAATTAATACAAATCATTTCCTTCTATTTTCTTCCCTTCCCTTTCTTTTCCTCCCCCTCCATGTCCTTTTATTTTCCTCCATTCCCCTCCCTTCCCTTCCCTTTACTATTTTCTATCCAAACAAGGGCTTAAGGTTTAAGGAAGGTCCAAACCTAACTCTCTCAAAGATGGAAAATATTTGCATTTTAAAATGCATTTAACTCAAATTATGTCATGTTAATTGATTCTTTGCACCAAATAAACCCACTCCCACTTAAGTTAGATGAGTAACCAATTCATGGTCTTTTTACAACACTCCACAAGCATTGCAGTTCTTGTTCCATTAAATAAAATTATTCAAAATTTTGCAAAGGCCTGAGTTATAAACAAACAAATACAGGGGAGATTGTCATAGACTTCATGAAGGGAAAAGTATCTGTAAAAGAGGACTGAGATGAAGCATCAATCACCAGAACTCCAAAACTAAAGAAATCCCTTTTTTGGTCCCTTAAGTTTAATTTTCCAGCCCCTTTGTAGTTCCTCCATTAAATTTTGATGATATTGCATGTTAATTAACAGAATTATCATTTTTCCTTTTTTACATAAATGACATGGAAAGTCCATGCAGTAAAAGATGATGATGTGCCATTTCATTAAAACATATTATGTATGACATCAAATTTTAAGTATCTATTTATATTAAAAATTAATTATATAAAATGAAATTATGAGGTTGCCATTAACCCTTCTTCAACCTTTCTTCTCTCTTTCCTCTCCACTTTCTTCCTCCGCTTGAATGATTGTAAAATTCAAGCTTGGGTTGCATCATCATGCAAGGATTTAGTGGGGAACCTGGATCTAGGTTCCTCCACGTCGTGTGACAGTTGCTAGAGGAACCTAGACTTGGGTTCCTTGTTGCAGCCATCACGCGACAATCCACCAGCCTTTTGGGCAGCTTCTTCTACCTGTTGCAAATGGTATCAACTCAAAATCTTGCCCCCTGAAATCAATTTGACTGCCCAAAAACCTTTCCAATTCTAACTTCTCCAGGATTTCTCAAACCTTTGGATTCCCTCTCCATTGCCCACACATTACATACAACCTTGTTCACGCTGGAATTTTTTATGCTTCTATGTATTCCTTTGTCATTAAGGTTGAAGCTGGGGGGTTCAACCAGTAATCTCTGTTATTAGAGCTTTCAGCCAGGTAATGAAGGTGAGACAGGTTTGTTTCTAAAACAATTTTCCAATCTCATACAAGCTTCTAATTCAACTTGAGCTTTAGAATTGCGGTCTCTTAACTAATGTTTTTATGCTTAAGAGTGATGAAAATATATAGTTTTAAATTTCTGAGATTTTGGGATGGTAGGCCTTGTTATGCACACAAGGCGCTTGATTTAATGCCTGAGTGGAGGTTTGCTAATAGATTTGCATTGGGTTGGAGTTATATTCTTAAGAAAAAATAATTTTGATGCTTCTTGATAGATTATTCTTTTTGGAAATTGAGTCATAATTTTTGTAAATTCCCTTTGAAGAGTAGATTTGATGCTTCCTAAAGATTGAATCTTTAAATGAACTAGATGAACTTCAAAGAACATAATTGATTTTGGGGGTTTAATTTTTTACTAGATTAATTAAAAGTTATTTAATGATTAATTAGAGATAAGGTTTGTTTGTTTATCTAATTTGCCAAGTTAATCTTTTTTAAAATTATTTAATTATGGATTAAGTAATAATAAAACTAATTAAAGAAAGTGGACCCATATTTTCATCAATGTCATCATTTCTTACAGCATGGCATTTCCACCTCATCTATATTAAAAAAAAAAATGGAGATGATTCTGTTACTTAACACGATGTTAGCAAAAACTTAACACAAGGACCAAAAATGGGCAGTAAAATTAAACTTTAGGGACCAAAATGGGAATTTTTTTAGTTTGGGGATCAAAAAAGGACTCAATACAAAAGTTGAGGGGCCAAAAATCGGGTTTTAACCATTTTCAAATCCAATAGCACCAAAATATCAAAGTGGAACAGTAGCTGAAACTTAACATAGTTTAAGTTCTATGATCCTATCTCAAGTTTTTAAATTTCATTCCTAGATGCAAAGATGAGGTATCCGACCAAACTGCCAAATTAGATTGCTGTCTTTAATTGTTCTTTCTGTCACTTTAATGCTAAGAAAGACCCTTTTTCAGATCAGACAAAATGAAATTCACTCAATCTCAGAACCCCATTGTTGATAATTGGCAATCAATCACTTTATACTATTTTTTCTCTTTCCAAGAACCTCTGATTCTACCACATTTTATGATAAACAAGAAGAAAGGATATAGAAGTTAGTGGATTATTTAGTCCTAAGAATTAATAACTTCATATTGGGTAAAGTATGAAGACTTACTTTTGTGAAAGTTCCACTGATGTATTCAGCAGCTTCTCTTCCCAAGTTCATTGCTGTCTCCACATTAGACACACCAAATTGTACCATAACAGAATCTGTATCCCCATAAATGACCTGATACCAAAGAGATTACTGATTCTCCCATACATTTAATCCACATTAAGTTCATAGGGATGCAAGGCCATAACAAGCCACATTGAAAACACCCGCAAAAAAATATACATGTGCTAAATACTTGAAGGAGTACACCAAATGCAGCAAGTAGTGTAATAACCATATCTTTTTGGATAAAATGTTCTTGATTGAATGTTTCAACCATCAAATGACCCAAATGAAAAGTTATAAATGGAATTTTTCATCTTATAAGATAACTTCTTTACCAATTTTATCACAGGAGAAGACCAAGAGCACTCATCATGGGCAGTAAAACCAGCATTTTTACCCAGCATCAAATAAATAGCCCCTAGTCTAATATCTAACCTTGATAAATGAGAATGGAAGTGGGTAAGCTGAGAAACCTATAATATTTAACAGAAACACAACGAGCAAAAGGAACATAAAAGACAACAAATACAACTAGAATTCAGTGGATAATTAGTTTGCATGAAAATGAAAGTTAGAAGAGGCTGAATGCAATAACCTGTACTATTGAGATTTCAACCTTGAAAGCATTCACTGAATAAAATTCAATCCCATCACAAGGCCTTTACTTCTTTTGAATATATTTTTATGTAAGTGAGAACAAAAGCACCATTTTCAACCACAACTCCAGAAATAAAAGTTTTCAGATGGTTACCTCAGCAGTGTGTTCATACCCTCCTACTGTTGTAAATTTATCTTCGACAAGTTTTTTTGTGTGCTCAATCATTTGTCGACCTTTTACAAATGAAACAAAACCAAACAAAATTATTCTTTTTAGTTATGGAGAAAACATGACATTGTACTATTTTAATAAGAAACAAATATTCTTAGGCTACCATAGCTTGTAACGCTTGAAGATATCTCTATACAAGGTAACTGACCAACAGTCGCTCCTGTAAATCCATATACAGAATTTGCACTTATCTGAAACAGAAAAATTATTTAAAATAATAAATAAAAGCACACAAGGAACGAGGTCATCTTTTAACCCTGAATTATCACTAGAATAAATTACTAAATTTAATAGAGGATGATAAAACTGCAGTTAGAAGCTCACCTTTAGAGCTAGTTGCCGACCATCTAAAACGGCCTTTTCAAGTGGATCCTTTGCTTCCTGTACGTAACAATATAATCTATTATCAGGAAACTCTGAAGGTAACAAAGCAATCTGAAGAAAAAAAGAATTTAAAAAAGCTTTCACAACATAATATAGAATAGACAATATAATTAAGGAAAGGATTGCAGTTAACTAGGGTGCTTGCCTTCAGGTCTGCCTTTGCTCGTTTACGAGCCGCTATTAGCTCTTCAAGAATTTCAGGAAGTATACCCTGAAATTATATTACATGATACATTTTTCTAAGCATTTAAAGGAATTGAAAACTCAATAGTTTAGACATATATGTAGAGAAAAGGATATCTAAAAAATATTTAGAATTTCAAAATTAATATTACCTTTTGGAGATTTGATTTAACAAATGTTTCACCAGATGGAGTTTTGTTGACACACTCTGGTGGAAGGTTCAGTTTGCGAGCATCTTCAGGTGTTACCTTCATAAATTACAAAAAAAAAAAAAAAAAAAAAAAAAAAGTTAGAAGAATCACCAGGGTGCAGTAACATAGATTATATGCCATCATAATTGATGGATACAGAGATGCGAAATCTAATGTTGCAATTGGCTTC